AGAGTAGTAAATTCAGGAGCACTGTGACTGTGGCTATACTTTCCTACTTGTTTATTTCCCTCTTGCAACTTAACTTTTTTGGTCTTTCGCTGACTGGTGCCTGTGAAGTCTGTCTACTTTTTTTCCTAAATACTGAATCAATATGTTCTTTACTTCTTATTTAATGTTAAATTACTTTGTCCACACTTTTCTAGCATGCATGTGGATCTCCACTCAGTCTCTTGAGCAGTCCTTTCAAAGACTAATTTCAAACAATTTCATTCTAATCACTTTTTAGCTCTCTCCTCTCAAAATCCATTCTGTATATTGATTGTAATGCCAAAAAGTAACTTGGCATTATCTAGTAAATTACTTTAAGTTGCATCATCATATGTGGTGGTCAAGTGATATTTATGAAGCTCATAAACTTGAAACATAAATGGAACAGTTTCCCTTATTAAAGTGAGTAGCATAGTGCTTCCCAGTTCATGTTTTCTCATAGGCCACATACTTAGAGGCTGAACATTTGTCAGCGACCCACTTAGTGGTGGCTGTAGCATACCTAGGTTCAAAGAGGTGCCTGCCTGAAAGGATGCTTTTGCCACTTATGCTTGAATTTGTCTTTGTTGCAAGTGTCAGTTACATAAAGTGTAATTAATGAATATGAACTTCCAAATCATAACCTTTGCTTTAAGTTCTTTGCTGTCTTACAGGCTTGTGAGATGCACTTCTGCTATGCAGGTTTTGGTTTTTTATCAGATTTTGTTGAAGCAGAATTCAAGTTAAACTGCTTTTCCTGTATTCATTTCCTCTTTCCTTCCAGAGCACTTCATCATTTTGACTTTTCTTACTTCTGGTGACTTCTTCCACCAATCATTTAGCTAACTGTTGTTTTATTCTATACCACATTGTCTAATATTTGTAGTGTCCCAAGCATAAAATCTAGTAGAAAGTGTACAGAAACAGCTTTAAACAGTGCTGTGAAATGGCTACAAGAACGATTGAGAAGCTCAACTGGTAGTTTGAGCATTCAACTTCTGAAGTATTGCTCACTTCTGCAAATGAGCAGAGTATTCATCTTGAAGGTGGTGAATGTTTTCTACTTACTGGCATGAGTAATAACTCACAAAAATAAGAAACTCAAGTCACTCCTTTCTTTAGGATAAGCTAAATTTAATACTGTTTATAAGTCTGTTAGCGAATAAATAGCTGATGTGGACAGATAATATCTTGTCTGTGTTGATGCTGAGTAGGCCATAATTTTGAAGATCTAGGAAAGGCTAAACTGGATATTCAGAATACTTAAACACATAATAGTAGACAGAGCACCAGGACAGTTAACCTGGAGAGGTGTTAGAGGTTTTCCAGACCATAGTATCATGGAGCACAAGTTGGAAAAACAAAGCAAGGCAAAAGCCAGATGGAGCTCACCCTGTCTTAAAACAGTTGGAGACTAAGCTGATTTTTTTATATGCATTTAAATCTAAGGATTATTTAACTTGTGGACAGCTATAGATTTACCTTCTTTCTTCCACCACCCTGTTGTGGATTCAGACACATAACCTACTTTAAGTGTGTTGCTAGACTTGGAAACAAGCATGTGTTCTGCAGGAGATTTCTGTCTTGGCAAATGGAGTTTGGTGTAGAAGAGGCACAGATGGAAGAGTCCAGAGCTGTGTTCTGTCAGTGTTCCATTTCATCCTTGGCTTCAGGCAATACAAATTAGTCATTATTAAATAATGAAGTTCTTTTTAGATACGTTAAGTGGTGGCTGATTTCTTTTTTTTAAGTGCATCTAGCTTCTACTTGGTTTGTCTTGAATGCAAAAAGTTTAGACATTGAGGAGATGGAAAAAGCTACACAGGAGAGCTTGTTTGAATTACACTGGCCAGGTGTCTCTAATTTTGAGTGAAATTTGTGTGCAGTGGGTATGCTGCGCTTTCTCAATCTGAAATCTGCAATCAGATGGGACTTCTCATTTGTTCAGTGGTAGTGAATAAGCTTGAATAAGCAACAAGTTTGGACTGATGTCCTGTATGTCAGTGAAACACTCAGGAAGAACTGAGCTTCTGAAGTTCTTGTAACCCAATTGGCACTTTCCCACGAAGTGAGAAATACCACCATGTTTTGCAGTAATTGGGATATCTGGTGCATTGTTTGAAATAGCTGCTTCTACTGCATTTTGTGAATTGCTTGTCTGGATTTTCTAAAACTTAGCCATCTGTATGTGAACTGGCAAACCTCTTAAACAAGCAGCTTTAACGCAAGCAGGAAGACTTAAGAGTGGTCCATCAAGCATCTGATTCCAGAAACCAGGTTCAACTTCCAGTTATTTGTATTGCTTGTTGAGAACCAAGATTCATCTTTCGTATGTGCTTCTATGAAGAAAGTGATTTTTTTAACTCTGAATTACTGATAATGTGTAATTGATCCACTAATCTTCAGGCAAAATTTCAATCCCTTTAAGAAGTTCTACCTTATGTTAACCTTTTGAAATACGTAAGGCCTTTGGAATGTCAGATCTGAACACTTTTGAACTTTAGGTGATAGCCCAAATTAAACAAAACTGAATTAAATAAATCATTCACGAAGTCATTGAGGGAGGAAGGGAATTCTAGACGTGATCTAGTTAACTCCCCTTCCTCAGGCAGGTTCTCCCTGAGCAGGTTGCGCAGGACCATGTCCAGTCAAACTTTGAGGATCTCAAGGAATGGAGACTTCACAACCCCTCTGGGTGCCCTGCTTCAGTGTTTCACCAACTTCACAGTGAAAACTCTTTTTAATTGCAAAATTGCAGAATAAACCAGCAGGAATGAGTTAAAGCTTATCCTGACAAAATTACTGGGTTTTGTTTGTGCAGCTTCCTAGGGTAGTCTGCTAATATTCATGAAGGTTAGCTAATAGAATGTCTCCAGAAGAACTGGTCATGAATGATACCCTTTGTAACAGCTGGGTACGCTCTTTGCCTGCAGTGGTCTGAGCGTTCTTAATGTGAAAAATAGACCACATGAACAGAGGGGTAATAGAAATAATTTCTGCACATCTTTTTCTGTGCACCCTGGAATTAATGAGTAGTATACTGGGAGCATCTTAAATGAAATAGCTTTCTCTTTGAGATTTTTAACACCTTTTAAGGTTGTGGTTTATTTAAATGGGTTCCTTCCTAAGAGAGCAATAACACCAAAAATCAGCATTTCTTTATTAGGAGATAAGACTAAAATAAAAGCCATGCACAAAAGGAGACATTTCTTTAAGTTGCTCTTTTTTGGAGACACTGCTGGGAGGAGTTTCTGCAGATAGTGGGAATGATGGAGGTGACAGGTATAGAAGATGCTCTACTGTAATCAAGCTAATAAGGAAGAAAGGCACTTCTAGGATAAGGAACTTGGCTGTATCTAGGTAGAGATGTAAATGAATACAGAAATGCTTCTGCATATTTCTGTGTTGTTTGTTACAGAAACACAGAATTGCTGAGGTTGGAGGCAGCTTCTGGAGATTGTGTAGTCCAACCTCCTGCTCAGAGCAGGGTTCTCTAGAGCAGGTTGCTCAGGGCTTTGTCCAGTGGGGTTTTGGATATTTTTTTTGTTAATAACTTGGCATATATTAACCTGTTCACAGCTTCATCTAGCCAATTTATTTGTGCTTCTGTGTGCTGTTTTGAAGAGGAGATTTGGAGGAATGTGGGTAGCTCTGGGGTGTAGGGTGGTGGTGTCCTCTAATTTTTGGTACTATGGTAGACTAATTTGTACAAAATTATGAATGCCAGCAGTGGCGGGCTTGTTACTAAACCCTCTCTTGTCTTAATCAATTACAAACTTTCCATCAGTTTTTTAATGTGCTATGTAATACATGCTGTACAGATATTACACAAGAATTTAATACAGCATAGGTTCTTTAATAACTTTGCTGGCAATAAATGAATTTGCCATTTGTGCTTTGTGTAATACTGCTTATCCTTTTATATTGTTGTATCTCCAAGCTAATCTTTCAAATGAGCATTTTGTGCATTAGATATACTGGATGTTTTCCTTTGGCTTGTTGACTGGTTTTTGGACCTTATTGTTTCAGTTTCTAAAAATAATGGTCAAAGAGTATGGGAGAGTGTTTCTGAAAAGGTCTGTGCTAATGAAGCATAGTATTACTAAGTGTTGTCCTTTTGCTATTTTAATTTTTTTGTACCTATTTGCATTCTTACACACTAAAAATATTTTTAAAGGGGTATGCCAGTTAAGAATGGTATACTTTAGGTTTTGAAGTTGTCAGGAGATAATTACTGCTAAACTCTCAAGTGTTTAATAAGTGCTTAGAGAGAATACACTGTTAGAAATGGGCTGTGGCTCAGTGATTAAGAGCTAATTAAAAATGTTTTATATCCATCTATCATCTGAATTACCAGTGCTAAAGGAACATGAAATATTGCATCTTTGGGTGATACTTAGTTCATGACCAGTTACTTGTACCAGTTGTTTTGAACATAGGAACAAAATGAACCTTCAAACTAACTCCTTGTTGCTGAGAGGCTCTGTTTAGTGTGTGAATAATGTCTGTAGCAATGTTCAGCTTCAAATTTGCCTCAGATTCTGATACTGAAGTATATTTGAAACACATTCATTTTCAAGCACTGGTCCAGAATTTTGCCACTGTACTTTCTATGTTCAATTAAAAAGTTCAAAAGTGAGTAGTGGATTTTTGATGTTGTCTTAACCTTGAAGCTCCTGTATGTCCTTTAGTCTCTATCTGATCATAACTATATCCTGAAACCTGTTTTGCATAGAAATTTTTAAGTATTTTCTTAAACTGTAGCTGTTTCTGCATTGAACTTAGGGTAATCCATAGGAACAGAGGAAGCTAGTTAAAAAACACCAACCTTACTGGCAAAACTAGGTGTTGGGACCCTTTGAAACTTTATCTGGGGCAGATACTGTTCTTAAAACCAAAAATTGCTTGTATTAAACACTGTTAGTTACCCATTGTGTAGCACTGCAGTACTCATGTTCACTCTTCTTTCTCTCTTTAATTAGGGCAGAGCTTGGGTTATGGTTTTGTGAACTACGTTGACCCCAAGGATGCCGAGAAAGCTATCAACACTCTGAATGGATTGAGACTTCAAACTAAAACCATAAAAGTATGTAGTTTAATTATGATTTTAAGAATGATTTAAGTGTTTTGACTTCTTGTTGATCAGATGCATGATTCATTTTTCCCTTTCCAAGTGTAACTTAAGCATTCTGCAAATGTCAGTAGAATAGACTAGGACTTCATGTAGCAGATGGTTAGTCCTTTGTAGTCTGTTTAGATTTAGAGACTTATATTATGATTATGTATAGAAAATTTTGATTTTTTTAATGCACTTGCTAATGTTCTAGATGTGAGCTTGAATTGTTTTAACTGAGAAATAATGTTGCAGAAATACAGTATTGCATATAGTCTGAACACTGCACTATGTGCTTCCTCCTTACTGTCTCAAAGAAGATGGTATAACTTACTAATACTCCCTTTTTTAGGTTGCTAGTGTCTTGTTTCTCTTACAAATCCTTAAAATGAAATGCTGAAATAACTATTTTGGTTATCAATGAATTACTGGACTCCTAGGGCTCTAGTCTCTAGGTCTCTAATGTTTGGGATTCCTGGCTTTTTGTTTGTGTTGTAACTCCTTGTATTGGGTTTGTGTGGCAAGGTTTTGGTAGCCAGGGTGTTACAGGGGTGGCTTCTGTGAGAAGCTCCTAGAAGCTTCCCCCATGCCTGATAGAGCCAGTGCCAGCTGGCTCCAAGACGGACCCACCGCTGGCTAAGGCTGAGCCCATCAGCAACAGCAGTAGCGCCTCTGGGATAACAGGTTTAAGAAGGGAAAAAAAGTTGCTGCGGGACAGAAACTGCAGCCAGAGAGAGGAGTGAGAACACAAAGGAGAAATAACCCTGCAGACCCCCAGGTCAGTGAAGAAGGAGGGGGAGGAGATGCTCCAGGCACTGGAGCAGAGATTCCCCTGCAGCCTGTGGTGAAGACCATGGTGAGGCAGTCTATGCCCCCCCCAGCCTATGGAGGTCCATGGTGGAGCAGATATCCACCTGCACCCTGGAGAGTGCCCGATGCCGGAGCTGGTGGGTTCCCGAAGGAGGCTGTGACCCCGTGGGAACCCTGCGCTGGAGCAGGCTCCTGGCAGGACCTGCGGATCTGTGGAGAGAGGAGCCCACGCTGGAGCAGGTTTTCTGGCAAGACTTATGACCCTGCAGGGGACCCACGCTGGAGCAGTGTGCTCCTGAAGGACTGCATGCCGTGGAAAGGACCCACGCTAGAGCAGTTCATGGAGAACTGCAGCCTGTGGGAAGGACTCATGCTGGAGAAGTTCATGGAGAACTGTCTCCCATGGGAGGGACCCCATGCTGGAGCAGGGGAAGAGTGTGATGAGTCCTGCTCCTGTAGAAAAGTATGAAGCGGCAGAGACAATGTATGATGAACTGGCCCCAACCCCATTCCCCTGTGCTGCTGGCAGGGGGTAGGTAGAGAATCCAGGAGTGAAGCTGTGCCTGGGAAGAAGGGAGGGGTGGAAGGGAAGGTGTTGTGAGATTTGGTTTTATTTCTCATTATCCTACTCTGGTTTGATTGGCATATAGTCTGAACACTGCAATGGTTAATTTTCTCCAAGTTGAGTCTGTTTTGCCTGTGATAGTAATTGGTTGAGTGATCTCTCCTATCCTTATTTTGACCCATGAGCCCTTCATTATATTTTCTCTTCCCTGTCCAGCTGTGGTGGTGGAGAATGATAGAGCGGCTTTGGTAGGCACCTGGTGTCCCACCAGGGTCAACCCACCACACTCCTGTACCTCTTGTTAACTAAATTCAGTTTCTTGAATTTCTAGAAGCAGAAATCTTAAGAGTTACATTTTCTCATCTACTGTCTTAATCCATTATCAGAAGAGTGAGGATACTCATTTGAACAATTGATTGGGCTCTGAAATCTTGAGAGAGGAAATGAAATAAAATTTATCAGGGAATGCAGGCTTCTGAACATGTTTCACAGGTGTTGGTGCCTGAAGGCAATTCATATTTGAAACAGCCCATTCTTCCTCATTAAACAGCAGGGTTTGTTAGCAGGTCACTTTGATAGTGACTGCCCTCTAACTAGAATCATGTTTAAGCCATAAGATGAAGCTCACCTCTAAAAAGGTTCGAACTTAAAAAGCAATGCAGAGCCACTTAAAGATGACTGAGACAAAAATAAGATGGCAGTAATCATGGTTAGAATGCCCTACCTCTTCTGGATTCATAAGATTTAATGAAGTGGATTACACTAATTGAAACTGAAATACTGCTATTTAAAGGTGAATCATGGCTCACCATAGCAATGTATGAAAGACATAGATGCTTTGCTGCAGAAAGCTCCCTGTGTGCTTCTGGCAGACTTCTTGTCCACAGACAGCCTCTCCCATTTTCTGCTTTGGGGGAAAATTGAGGAAACTCATTTTGTGCTCCAGGTTTTTTGAAGCTGTCTTTTGGATGGCGGTGAGAGAGGGAATGGGTTTGTGTTCCAGTAATATGGCAGGTACACTGTATGTTTACCTTTAATGTATTTGAACAAATAAAAAATGCTTCTGTCCACGGTGATAAGTTGGAAGTTCAGGTGACTATATAGCCAGGCAAAAAAGGATCATGTTGTAGCGACTCAAGCCAGATCTCCCAAATCAAAATGATCCCTTAAGGGGGTTTCCAGTGACTTACTTTATGCTGCCAGTTTATGAATTCATAATCTTCTTTCACCTTGCTAAGTGATTAATGCAAACAGTCACTGTATTTCTGCAACTAAAAATTGATTATAAAAAAAAGTTTGGGGGGAAAAAAGTGAAAATGGAGTAGACAGATACAGGTGATGACACTGATGCTCTTCCTTCCTTCCCAGGACATGAAAGTAGAATTGCAGCTTATGAAAAATACCAGACAGTGACCCTTGCAGTGAGACTAAAGCCTATGTGTAAATTTTCAGGGATTTGTGCCTTAGATGTTCTTAGCTAAAGAAAATCTGAAACATTTGAGTTGTCACAAGCTGAAATGACCACTTCACCAAAATAAAGAAAATCTGTTTAGTTAGAAAAAAGTATCTGTAAATGTTGCTTGTCATGTTACAGGTAAAATTCTGACTCTAGCTACCCGCATTCAACCCTGTTTAACTTCAGCAGCATCTTTCAGTGTTAGTGTGTGTGACTTGAGGGAAAAACTGCTTTGTTTCCTTCTTATGTACTCTTCCTTCTTGGACACAAGCTGGTTTCAGGCCAAGTTTTCATGACTGGCTTCTGCCAAGATGCTGTTTGAAGAGGCTGGTTTTACTTCCTTCCACACTGTAGGTGGGGCAGAGGCTAGGGGGATCCCCAATAAGTTTTAAGACTAAGGCGTTTGTACATTGGATAGTTGCTTCTCCATTTAAAAGAACTGAGATGTCTGTGTGGTGGTGACTTGAAAGGAGGCATGCCAGGAGTGTTTGCCTTTATCTGTGAATGAGTAGAAATGCCCAGCCTACTGTGAAGCACTTAATAATTTACATGTTCCTCAGATCAAACTGGAGGCAATACTGAGCAGAGGTAAAGTTGATGTCTGAGGCTTTTACTGTCTCTGGGGGCAACATCTGGGGTGGAGGGAGTCACTTATGAGATCGCAGTGCCAGTACCCTTGCAGAGAATACTTAGAGTTCATAGACCACAGTGTTCCTATTTGTCCAGAGTTGATACTTCAATTAAAATGTTTAGTACTTCACTAGACTGATGACTGAAAATGTTTGTTTCCTGTTAGTCTGTAAAACTGGAAGGAACCTTGTTTAGGTGATGGACCCTCACATAGCTGAACCTGAACACATTCCCACTCAGACGGAATTGTCCTGACCCTAATGTGTGATATTCTAGATTAGGGCCATGACAGATACTTCTGATCCACTGCTTTTGTATTAGCATGTTAGTCATTGGATATATTACTCTGATCCCTAAAAGGAGGTGCCACTTACTGTTTTCTTGAAATAAGGTGTATTTGCAAAATGATGGCTTAAGTTTTTTTTTATGGGTAGCGATATTAAAACCTATTATCTGATAGCTTTCTAAAAAGAACAGCATCCTGTGGAATGCTTTATGGAATACCTCTCTTGAACTATTTGCAAAGTATCTCAACCAAATTTCAGATCCGTACCTCCAAAGGAAGTCATAGAGGGCTTCATCTTGTCTAACCTGGTGCCAGTTGTGTTGCCTTTTGATTTTACCTGAATATTAAAACTGCGGGGTGGGTATGCATTGATATTGAAGGCATATCTAGATGTGTTAGACACCTGAACACCACTCTGCCAGGTAATATACCTACACATATTATATGGTGCCCTCTGTGACATAATTTATGCTTTATTTGCAATGTAAACAGTCTTATTTGTATTTCAGGTAGGCTGTGAAGTTTGGGCTTCATTTAATTATGCAACTTCAGTGTGAAAACAAGTATCTTAGGAGAGGTAACATTTTCTGTAGCTTGTCTTCTGGGAGAAGGTACTTTGGTTCTGTTCTACTTAAAAGCCAGTAGAAATGCAGATTTCTGTCCCTGGTGCGATTTTTTTTTTTTTTTTTTTTTCCATACCCACTTGCTTGTGCATGACTTCTTTCATTTGGGTTGTCCTGGAAAGATCAGTTCTTCCCAAACGTGGAAAACTCAGAGGAGCAAACGGCATATAAGAGTCACTGACTTGCACATAGTGGTAAGAAAATTCAGTGCATGTGTTTGTTGGCTTGGCTTCTGCTTGGGAGAGGGGAGATCCTCAGTGCCTTGCCCTCCCCTTTATCCTGGGAAAAACCCTTTAAAAAAAAAAGATACAGGTGAATTTATTGTGAGATGATCTCAATAGGAATATCTTTCGGTGTGGTGTAGAAGGCTTATATATTAAAGTGTAGTAAGATTCTCTGTCTAAAGAGGGGTGAGCAAACAAATGGCCTATGCTTGAACTGGCGTACAACTGCATAATATACTGCATAGGAAGCAGTTTTTTACCTAGATTATTAGGGATAGCAGGAGGGCCCAGGAAAATCTCTTCGGCTTTTCTTTGTGGATGCTAGACTGCTTGAATGACAGACGTGGTCTTTTGTGGATTGTAGCTGCCAAGGGGGTAC